ATAAATTGTTGGGGTACCCCGAATTGAGGAGGGGTCCCCAAGCTGGATTCATCGCCCCAAGAATCAAGAGTCCACGCGCCAATTTATGCAACACGCAAGAGGCTTTAATTAGGCATCTGCAGATGGGCCTCTCGGTCAGCTTTTAGACCGATTGGCCCCGAGGTTCAGTTACAATCAGCTTTTAAAGATAAAAACCACAAGCCTTTGGGAGGGGTCCCTATCTTGTGACATGGGCGGGGGGTACGTGACTACTGACCAGGGGAAGTAGATGTCTTCCTGAATACACGTTGTAAATTCCTCAAACCTTGGTATGAATTAATCATCTCTCCCTAAGTAAATGGCAGTTATCATCTCCTTGTTTCCATCTTGTTTGCCCATCTCTGACGCCCTGGTCAGTTCTTCACAGGTGGTCAGCAGCCCGGAATTGGCCTTTTGTGGGTTTACAGCCTTCTGCAATTAAGGTTGCTAAACCATACATTCCATTCTGTGGTTTGGCCAGTTCCTGGGATGGGGTCTTTTGTTCACTTCCCGAGTTCTAGTGGGGTGCCCTCCCTGCTTAAGCTTATATTTTATTTCTATAAATTTGGGATCTTTCAAAATGTTAGGTATTCTACTGGTTGCACAAGAGCATCTCACTGTGGTCTGAGTCTCTGTTCCATGATGAATAATGATGTTGAACCTTTTTTTGTATTGTAGGATTTTGGGTGTCTTATTGAATAATATACCCATTTCATGCTGCTGTCCATTTAACAATCGTACAGTTTTTACTTATTAGTTTGCAGGATCTATAGATTGTAAATGAAAATAATCGACATTGTGAACTAGGAAAGAATTTAATTAAAATTATTTCATGTACTGTCAAATACTGTTCATTTTTCGAAAAAGCTAATCATTGTTAGTCTGGCCAGTTTTACTTCTGGGGCAGAAAATGAATTTTAGTAGAAAAAGATTATTTTAGGACTAGAATAAAGGAATCACTCGAATAAGCAAAATGACAGTCCTATATGCATTTATCCTCTTTGCATAAGTAGTTTTCCGTTTGACAACTGGATTCTTATATGGGGGCCTTTTTGTTCCACGATACACAGCAGGATCTGCTGGGAAATGGTTGATAATTTTATCTATGGTAGTTACAACAGGGTGTTACTGTGAGTTAAAGGATAGAGGCCAAGAACTTACCTTTTCCTTTTTAAACTGTCTGAACTTAGAGACCAGAAAGGACTTCCTTTGTCTAACACAACGGTCAATTTAAAGACATAATTTTAGCAATGTGGATTATAGACTGATACTCCTTTGCTCTAGGTCTAAATGCATTATGAGTGAGTATGACCATTTTTGTCTTTTTGTGACTGGGTTACCTCACTCAGGATGGTTTCTTCTAGTTCCATCCATTTGCCTGCAAATTTCAAGATTCCAGTGTTTTTTGTTTTTTTTTTTCCCTCTGAGTAGTACTCCGAATTTTCTCCATCCATTCTTCAGTTGAGGGTCATCTAGGTTGCTTCCAGGTTCTGGCTATTATAAACAATGCTGCTGTGGACATGGTTGAACAGATGTCCTTGTTGTATGAATGTGGATCTTTTGGCTAAGAGTGGAATTGCTGGATCTTGTGGTAGACTGATTCCCATGTTCCTGAGGAATCTCCATACTGATGTCCAAAGTGGCTGCATGAGTTGGCACTCCCACCAGCAGTGGAGGAGTGTTCCCCTTTCTCACATCCTCTCCAGGAAAAACTGTCCTTGGTATTTTTGATTTTAGCCATTCTGACAGGAGTAAGATGGTATCTCAGAGTTGTTTTGATTTGCATTTCCCTGATGGCTAAGGATATTGAGCACTTTCCTAGGAAACAAGGAAGACCCGAAGAGAGTTATACATGGTCCCCCAAAGAAGGGGAAAGGGACAAGATCTCCTGAGTTAATTGGGAGCATGGGAGAGAGGGGGACAGGACTTAGGAGAAAGAGAGGGTGAGAAGAGGAGGGGTGAGGAGGACAGGAGAGAGCAGGAAGATTGAGTCGGGGGAAGAATACAGGAGAGCAAGAAAAGAGATGCCATAATAGAGGGAGCCATTATAGGTTTAAAGATAAATCTGGAACTAGGGAAATGTCCAGAGATCTACAAGGATGACCCCAACTAGGAATCTAAGCAATAGTGGAGAGGCTACCTTAAATATCCTTCCCCAATAATGAAATTGATGACTACCTTATATATCATCCTAGAGCCTTCATCCAGTAGCTGATGGAAGCAGAAGCAGACACCCACAACTAAACACTGAGCCAAACTCCTAGAATCCAGTTGCAGAGAAGGAGGACTGATGAGCAAAGGGGTCAAGACCAGGCTGGGGAAACCCACAGAAACAGCTGACCTGAGCAAGGGGTTGCTCATGGACCCCAGATAGATAGCTGGGAAACCAGCACAGGACTGTTCCAGACCCCCTGAACAAGGATGTCAGTTTGGAGGTCTGGTTAACCTATGAGGCCTCTGGTAGTAGATCAGTATTTATCCCTAGTATAGGAATGGACTTTGAGGGCCCAATCCATATAGAGGGATGCTCTCTCAGCCTAGACACATGGGGGAGGGCTTAGGCCCTGCCCCAAATGATGTGACAGACTTTGAAGATTCCCCATGGAAGTCTTCACCCTCCCTGGGGAGCAGAAATCGGATGGGATAGGGGATTGGTGGGGAGCAGGGGAAGAAGAGGGAATTGGGGTTGACACGTTAAAGAAGTTTGTTTCTAATTTAAATTAAAAAAGAAAAAAAGAAAGAAAGCATAATTTTACTAAATCTTCAATAATTTCATACAATGTGTATTCATTGTATGCACCCCATACTCTTCCCCTTGGTCCCTCCCAGATCTATCTCCACATCCGTGCCTGTTCTCCACAACTTCCTGTCCTCCTTTCCCCATTTATTCTCAGATGTGGAGCCATCCACCATAGTGTGGTTCACTCACCAGGGTCCACACCTTTAATGAAAGCCAACTGTTCCTTCCAGAGAAGTTACCGAGGGTCTGTAGCTCCTCAGTCAGGGGTGGAGGCTTGTGAACTTTTCCCACTGTATGCCAGAATGGTGACTGAATTCAGCTCTCGAAGGTCTTCCGCAGGCAACCACAACCGTTGAGTCCTTGAGTTCAGTGTCCCTGTAATATTCAGAGGATACTGTTTGACTCCTCCATGACTTCAGGTTCTTAGAATCTTTTCACCTCCTTTCCTACTGTGGTCCCTTGGGGAGAGGGTGTGACACAGATGTTCCATCTGTGGCTGGGCACCCACTGACATCCATGCTCTGCACTTTGACCAACTCTGTGTTTCTTACTAACCACTGTCCACTACCCAAAAAGTCTTCTGATGAGGTCTGAGAGCTTCACTGATCAACAGGAAGAGAGACACACATTTAGAGGCTGTTTGATACTTAGTCTATTTAGTAGAGTAACAGTAGTAGGTTCAACCCTGGAGCCTGTGAGCTCCGAAACCATGTCTTGGTCATGTTTACCGTACCAGACATGGAGTGTAACTTAAGCCCAGTCAGGCAGTGGTTGGTGATTTCCTCCTTCTACCATGTGCATGAATTCTGGTCATCAGGTTAGGCAGCAAGAGCCATGCCACAAGCCTTACTCTTTAGTCTTTATCTGCCTCCCTTGTGGAGAAGAAAAAAGAAAACGAAAAAGAGGCAACCATGGATATTTTGTTGAAAAGGTTTTTATTTTTTTTTTCATGTGGAGGAGTTTTATTTTTAATTAGGGGAAAGGGAATAGGAAAGGGGGGAGGGGATGGGAGAGACTGTCCTGTGTGGATAGGAGCAGCAGAAGGTGGGGGGCAGAGGGACAGGCAGAGAAGCAGAGGGAGAAACAGACTGTACAGAGAGAGAAAGACAGAAAGATGGGAGGTGGGAAAAGGTTTTATATTTATTTTTGAGAGAACTAATCCCCACAAGTTGTCCTCTAATCACCATGAGCTTACATGCTCGCACACAACAACACACACACACACACACACACACACACACACACACTTAAAAATAAAACAGGAAAGCTTGCTGACAGTTATTACTCATAGCAGCAGGGAGAGAATGTGGTTTTCAGGTAAAGTGCAGTGGAAGGTAATGTCTCTGGGTGACAAGGTAGACCACGAGAAGGACTAGTCTCATTTCTCAGGGAAGTTGTTAGATACTAGCATTTGGCAACTTAGAAAATACTCTGTTTTGTCATCGTTTTAATTGTGCTCAATAACATGAATGAATGAAGGGACCTGCTAATGTCCATTTTTGGTAAGGAAGACAACCACGCTATGGCATTTTAACTGAAGGTGCTGATTAGCTTTTGTCAACTTAACCCAAACCTAGACATGCCTGTGACTGACACAGAAGGGATGGCTCAGTCTGGAAAGGGAGAATGTAAGAAAGGCAGCAGAACATCCCAAGGAAAGTGAGCCAACAGGCAGGTACCTCCATGGTCCCCGCTTCAAGTCCTGTCTCCAGGCTCCTGCCTTGAGCTTCTGCCTGACTTTTCTCCACAAGGGCTTGGAAACTATAGGCTGAAACAAACCCTTTCTTTGTCGGGTTGCTCTGGGGCCGAGTGTTTTATTACAGTAGCAGAAACCTAACCGGGAACTGACTCTAAAAGGAAGGATACAAAGAAGTTTCAGGATGCAAAGGACAGTCCTTGAGAAAAGTGGGAGGTGACCTTCAGACCAAGGTACAAAGTACAGTTTGGAAAGGCCATAAACTGAGCCTTAAGGATGGAGGGGGAGGGGAGGTCTAAGAGTTGCTGAGTCCAAAAGGGCATTCAGAGAATATGGCCAGCTCAAGCAAACAGCGACTGGTAGGAAATCTAATGGTGTCCCAAGAAGTCATAACTTTGGGAGGATTGATGTTGAGTCAACAGAGATTGTCACAAAACACTTTGAAAGTCAACTCCAAGAAAGTATGAATCTCTTCTGCTAATCGGAAAATACAGACCACAAATGTCCTGTCTGCCTCATCTCTTTAGTTCTTTCCTGTCATTACAGGGAAGCCTGTTTAGCACCTGGAAACCCATGTGGGTTGTGCTGTTAGAAGATGGAATTGAGTTTTATAAGAAGAAAATCGACAACAGCCCCAAGGGAATGATCCCTCTGAAAGGGAGCACTCTCACTAGCCCCTGTCAGGACTTTGGCAAAAGGATGGTGAGTTGATATCACTAGCCACAATGACCCTGTGTCACCTGCTGACCTTGGATGCCCTTTTCAAATTCTGCTTCCTAGCTCTCTCCTCCCCTCTCCATCCTTACGGTTCAGTTTATGGACCTAGCTGTGCCACATCCTGCTGATGTTGGAGTCTATCTGCATTTTAGCAGTGCTTTCTGGACAAGAGTCCCCTCTTGTCAACATCAACATTTTATGCTGGCATTGCACTTTCTCTTTGTTGGAACAAGTTTGTATCAACTGCTGTGTTTCATGAGGGGCCTTGAAAGGGGGTCATTTCTAATGGGATATGTTTTGATTTTCAGTTTGTGTTGAAGATCACTACAACCAAACAGCAAGACCACTTCTTCCAGGCAGCCTTCCTGGAGGAGAGAGATGCTTGGGTTCGGGACATCAAGAAGGCCATTAAATGTATTGAAGGAGGCCAGAAGTTTGCAAGAAAATCCACAAGGCGGTCCATTCGTCTGCCAGAAACCGTTGACTTGGGGTAATTTTCTGAGTTTGCCTCTCTCCACCCTTTGATTTTCATTTCCATTTTGATCTGACAAATCCTGCTTCAAAGCTTGCTTTGACCATCTTTGATGACAGGGCCTCCAAGGCCTAGGAACTGAACAGAAAGGCTTGTGGTGTTTGTAGAGGAGAGAAGAGAGATAGGGGTGACAAAGAAGAGAGGAGAGAGAGAGAAGACAAAAGATGTGAGAGAAAGAATGGAGGAGGGTAAAGAGGGAGGAAAGAGGAGAGAGAAGGAATAAGAGGAGGAGGAGAGAGAGGATGAAGAAAGTGAGAGAGGGCAGCAGAGTGTTTTTTATCTATGAACCATCATCTAAAGTTAGTCTTGAAAGAGTGTTTCAGGGTTTGTAGGTAGAAAGGGAAAAGCAGGGGCCATGCAGACTAAGTTTCAAGTTTGGATTCATGCTTTCACTCTAAGTCAGGAAGGGCCAGCCAGTGTGAACACTCATCCTGGATGGAAGCCATTCTTGACTTGATGAATGACTTATGAGGTACACTATTGATGACCTGGAAATGCAGGTGACATTTGTAATATAAAGGTCGCCAGGGAGCAGTAGGTAATCCCAGGCCTGCTGGGGCTGGCAATGGGCTTCTTTCTAGTGTTCTTTACATCTGCTCTAATCATAAGTGTTTCTTTCTCCAGGACTGTCATTCTTCTTGGTAAATTTGCTTTTTGTGTTAAGCAAGAGACTCATTAGAAGGAATACCCTGTTGGCTGCTTACAATGTCTGACAAGAGTTCAGTTCACACAGGGTGGGTTCAATGCAGTCTCTGAGAGGGCATGAGAGACGTGCTTTCAGTACAACTAATGTAAGGGTTGGCATGACACAGGAATGGAATCATGTTGACCTGCATAAGAACTAGAACTTCTCTCACTTGGGTAAGGCCCCAAGAAGAGATATCTGGTCTAGACATAGCTGCTGGCTTCAGACATCATATGACCACATTCCTGGCCTTCAGAACTAAGTGGGAATGATGCTCAAAATGCAAAGAAACACAGAGACTTAGAATTATTCTGAAGAGGCTATTTTTAGTTTATTATTCCAGAGACAAAAATTCAAAAACTCATTATTTCACCTTATTGTTTTCAGAAAACAAGATGGGCTTAGAAAACAAAATCACTTTTTTTAAGGCAATTGTCTGTAACAAATGGCCTCCTGAAAACCCTGTAAGAATCAGGAGATGGTTATCTTTGTACAGATTTAACACACATCTAGAAGAATCAACTTAGGAAAGGGGGCATTTATTGTGGCTCAAAGTGCTTAGTTTGACCTATTTCTTTTAGTCCCACAATGGTGGCTGGGGGCTACATATCATGGTATATATGTACAATAAAGCATATTTGTTCATTTTGTGATTGGAATACGAAAGAAGGCACTAGTATTCCCAGATCTCCTTCAAGGGCATGCCCACAATAACTTGAAAATTTTCTTACTCACTCACTCTACTCACTCACTCGCTCGCCTGCTCGTGTGCGTGCGTGCGTGTGTGTTTGTGTGTGTGTGTGTGTGTACGAGTGCACGTTTACACCTATATGTGGGCCCGTGTGCATATGTATGCAGGCACATATGGAGGCTGGAGGCTGATTTCAGATGTCTTTTTCAATTGCTTTCCACCTTACTTTTTGAGACAACGTTTCTCACTGAACCTGCAGCTCATGACTTGGTGAGATTAGCTGACCAGCCTGCTGCAGGGATGGATCCTCCTATCTCTACCCCCACAGTGCTGGGATTGCAAGCTACTGTGGCCTGCTTTTTCTGTGGCTGCTGGGGATCTGAACACAGGTCCTCATGTTTGCCTGGCAAGCACTTTATAAAAGAGCCACTGACTCCCTGATCACATTTTTTGAAGCTTCAACCACCTCTGAACAACCTCAAGCTGGGTCACAAGCCTTTAAGGCACCGATATTTGCAGGACATGCCAGATCCAAACTATTGCAGAGACTTTAAAGGTCGTTGTTCCTGCAAAATTGGCCCAGGGAATTCTTAACCTTTGGCACATAGCAGGGCAACTCTCCATCTTAGGCACCAGGATTAAATCAACAAAGAGATTATTGGATTTCAGAGATATTAAGTGCATCTGCTAAATGCTTTGCAGGCCACTTGATTGTGCAAGTTGGACCGCTGCCCTTTAACTACTGCTGGTCTGGCAGAGAGATTAGGCTTAGGGCTACTCCAAGGAGTGGGGAAACTTAGCTCCTGGAGGGCTCTCAGGTGGTTCACCATTCCAAATGCTTCTTGCTCACCTCTGCCTTTGTCTCTGTACAGGGCGTTGTATCTGTGCATGAAAGACCCTGAAAAAGGAATAAAGGAGCTGAATTTGGAGAAGGAAAAGAAGGTTTTTAATCACTGCTTCACAGGTAAAATGACGTGCACTCCCAAAGTGGGGAGGGAAAGTGGCATCCCCCACAGCTCTCTGATGTGGTGCAGTGTGGTGTATAGTAGGCGTACATGATCGTGGAATGCAGACCAGGGAGCAAGAGGTTAGATCTCTGCCTGTGTGAAAACAGAAACCAGGTAGACTGTTTTGTTCAAGATAAGGCTTCAGAAGTCACAGCTATATCAATCAAGCATCCCTTTCCTCCAATATTTGGCATTATGATGAAAAAGCATTAAGGATAGAAACAGCTTAATATGCTGCAACCCACACTATGGTAAACAAGAATTAAGATATGTAGCACCAAATTTAAACAATAATGTTGGGAGTGTCAGACACTATTCACAGCAAGGTAGTAGGTGTCACCAGTGTAAGCAGTGTGAAAGCCCATTCACTGGAAGCATGCTGCCCGGTTTCAAACTCTGGATCTGCAACTTACCAGCCACGAAATTTCAGGCCAACAACTGTCTCTGTGCTTTACTGTCTATATGATGGGAAATTGCAGGGCACATATTTTCCAGACTTGTTGTTTCGTAGTAGAATAGCCCCTGACATACAGTAAGCACTTAGAGTTCTAAGTTTTCAAACAGTTATTATGATGGAAGAGGTTATGTCTGTGTAACAGCTCCATGAATTCAGGAAAGAGAAAGAACTAAGCAAGCTGCTGAGGTGATTAGGAAGTGGTGCCTCAGTTGGACCTCAAAGTAGAGGGGGTTTGTGGGGAAGGTTTCTGATGAGTTGTGAGTGGAAATGTGCAGAACATGCGTCTGGAAAAATAAAGGGATCACCTGGAAGATGGCTCATTATAGACAGAAAAATGGGAAGTTAGTTTGGGAGTAAGTGTGTCAGACACTCAGCATAGTAAACTTGTTTGTAGGAAGCCATAGGGATACAATTTGGAGCAACTATAACGGTGTGAGCATCTGAGAAGACGTTAGTCCACAGAAAATCCATGAAAACGGCTTAGGTCAGAGTCAGGAAGGTGAAGGAGAAAGGGTGTGATTGGCACCGTGAGGAAGAATCTCACAGGAGTGTGTTTCAGAGAATGCAGGCAGTATCCTTTAGCATCAAGTCAGGACTAAGCTTTGCCATCAAGCTACCAAGGGAAACAATAAAAGCAAGGCAAGACACTAAGGATGTGGGTTTGGGGTCACTATGAGACAGCCCCAGGCCAAAGGAATAATAAGTTCCTATAGAGATTCAGCCACCAGACCTAGCCCAGGCGTATTTTCTGTTGAATGCATCCCCAAGTCCAAGAACATTCACCAACACTCAAGTCCTTCCCATGGACTGGCATAATGGATTCTAGAACTCTCCATGAGTGGAGTCATCATGAGAGTCAGGTGGTGTCAGAGACCAGGAAGCAGTCAGTGTTCACATGCAATGGAGTACCTTGACTATCACAGGGCAGAGAAACCCGAGTGAGGTCTTTCAGGCTTCAGCACACCTAGTCGAGAAGCACAGACTCAGGGGTGAGAACACACACAGTCTAGGCCCAGGACAGGCACTACCGAGGCCCAAGGATATTGAAACTGCCTGAGTCATAAGTCTCTTATTTTTCAAATGGGGTGAGCAGCTGCCAAATCTTCTGTGGAGTTCTGAAAGCAGAAATGTTTTCTTGGCAGAGAAAGAAAAGTGGGTAAAATCTTCATGCGTGAGACTCTCTGAAAGGGACCACGGCTCTTTCAGGTGTCCCAGACCCAATGCACCAGCTCCAGTGACTCAGGGCTAGCAGGCTGCTGTGTTGGTTGTCACTGGATGAACTTGTAAAGAACACACTGTATGAATGCTAACCTTCATTTTTAGCTTGCTAGGACCCAACTGACATGGTTTCTTTTTTTCGTTCCCTGTGTTGTTTTTCTCTTGAGCAAAAGTGAAATAAAATGACTAACCACCAGACTCTTTAAAATGCACAACAATATAAACATAAGTAATGTAATCAAATTTTAATTTAGGACACACATCCCATGATGTTATTTTTATAATTAAAAATTTCAAGTGTCTTTTCATTGATAGATCTCTTGCTCTCTCTTTTTTTTTTTCTTGGTTTCTCTGTGTAACAGGACTAGATGTCCTGGAACTTGCTCTGTAGACCATGCTGACCTCAAACTCACAGAGACATGCGTGTCTCTGTCTCCCAAGTGCTGGAATTAAAGGCTTGTGCCACCATGCCTGGCTATTAACAGATTTATTTTTTTCTTTTATTTAAATACCATTTTTCATTTATTTTACATACAGACCACACGTTCCCTCCTCCCCTCCTCTCCTCTCATTCCTCCTATGTCACCCTGCTTCCTATTTGCTCTCCTCTCAGTCTGCTCCTTCTCAGATTGACAGATTTATTTTTTTATTTAAATTAGAAACAATCTTATTTTACATATCAACCCCGTTCCATCTCCCTCCCATCCTCCCGTGCCCCCCCCAGCCAACCCCTATCCCATCTTTCTTCTGGTCCCCAGGAAAGGTGAGGCCTTCCATGGGGGGGATCATCAAAGTCTGCCACATCATTTAGGGCAGGGCCTAGGCCCTCCACTGTGTGTCTAGGCTGAGAGAGTATCTCTCTATGGGGAATGGTCTCCCAAAGTTCATTCATTCACTAGGGATGAATACTGATCCACTACTACAGGCCCCATAGACTGCCCAGGCCTCCTAACTGACACCAACATTCATGGGGCCTGGTTTAGTCCTATGCTGGTTTCCCAGCTATCTGTCTGGGGTCCATGAGCAACGCCTTGTTCAGGTCAGCTGTTTCTGTGGGTTTCCCCAGCCTGGTCTTGACCCCTTTGCTCATCACTCCTCCTTCTCTGCAACTGGATTCCAGGAGTCAGGCTCAGTGCTTAGTTGTGGGTCTCTGCTTCTGCTTCCAACAGCTACTGGATGAAGGCTCTAGGATGATATATAATGTAGTCATCAATTTCATTATTGGGGAAGGACATTTAAGGTAGCCTCTCCACTATTGCTTAGATTCCTAGTTGGGGTCATCCTTGTAGATCTCTGGACATTTCCCTAGTGCCAGATTTCTCTTTAAACCTATAATGGCTCCATCCATTGTGGTATCTCTTTTCTTGCTCTACTCTGTTCTTCTGACCCAATCTTCCTCTCCCCTCCTCTTCTCCCCTTCTCTTTCTCCTAACATCCCCACCCCTCCTGCTGTGCTCACAATTTTCTCAGGAGATCTTATCCCTTTCTCTTTCTCCAGGGGACCATGACAGATTTCTTAATGTGCTATCACATCTTCCTCCTCCTGACTCCTCTTGCTTTTTTTCCTTATCAGCTCCATCTCTGTTCTCATGGGCTTCAACGTGCTTGTAAGTTTGTCCATCCACACTGCTGCATCCTTGCCTATGCTGGACCCTGAGCTCCTATATCAAATGCTTGCAAACACCTTATATTTTAGTTCTCAGCCAGTTACTTTCTCTATAAATTCTTTTCTGATGAAATTAAGAATTCTGTAACTTTATTGCTTATGTTTTCACTATAAAACCTGCCCATTGCCCATCTAGGGTCTTGGACAAGCTCAATAAATGTGCAAGTTAGTAAAAATGATTTGTTCATGTATTTCTCTTAAAAGTAGCATGTGTGTATGTATAAACGTGTGTGTGTGTGTGTGTGTGTGTGTGTGTGTGAGTCAGTGTGTGTACTTTAACTTTTGCATGATTCCTTTCGTTTCCAAGGATCTGTGTCACTAATTTTCTTTTCCATTCATGGAATAGCAGGGCAGCACTGGAGCCAGTGTGTGGTTGGCAGTCAGTGTCGTGGCTTGTGACTTGGGAAAGAGTTAACTTTCCCTCTGATATACTCATCCAGGTAGCAGTGTCATAGACTGGCTGATTTCTAATAAGTCAGTTCGGAATCGCCAGGAAGGCCTTATGATCTCTGCATCACTGCTCAGCGAAGGGTACCTGCAGCCCGCTGGCGATCTCTCTAAGAGTGCAGCAGATGGGACAGCTGAAAACCCTTTTCTAGACAACCCTGATGCTTTCTACTTCTTCGTAAGTATGAAAAACCACCCGCCTGATTTTCATGTCATAGGATCAAGGTAGATTTTCTGTTGACAACGGTTTATAGCCACATATACAAACAGAATGTCTGGTCCTATGGAGAACTGATGGTAGAGAAAGCTAGAGAAGAAGCCAACCAGAGACAAAAAATTAATGACAAGCTGCTGAGATGGCTCACTGGATACAGGTGCTTGCTGCCAAGCCTGATGACCTGAGTTCAATCCCCAGAACTTACATGGTGGAAAGGGAGACCCACCTCCTGCAGATTGTCCTTTGACCTTCATACCCACTGGATGGCATGTACATGCTCGTACATATTCAAACACACATATACAGCCCCTCATCTCTCTCTCTCTCTCTCTCTCTCTCTCTCTCTCTCTCTCTCACACACACACACACACACACACACACACACACACACACACTTTAAAGACAAATACTACAAGCTCTGAAAGCACAGGCCTGTAAAGCTCTGACTATACCATCACTTTGTGGACTTAGCAGCAGCTCTCTCAAACACTGCCTTCTCCAAGTGAACAGTTTAGGTTTACTCAAATAGTTTTCTCTAAACTCACTTTTGAGATCTTACTACCTTTATTCTTATTCTAAACAATTAATTCCTTTATAAGCATGTATTGTGTACCTCTTCATGGCACATGTTGTCCTAGACAAAGGGAACACATCAGTGGAAAGGCAACAGTGTCAGTCCTGGTATGATGTCCTTTTCAGGGAGCTGCCCATGAGATCACAAATGTGATGAGCTGTCTCTTTGTGTTCAAACATACAGTAAAATAATGTGCACCATGCTTCTGTATACACTTCCTCCCATAACCTTGCATGCTTTTTATGTCTCCTGAGATTGCTAAACTGTATATTATGTAACATGAGCCTAACTTGTGATCACATGATAATTTTAACAACTGTGGATTTCTAGGGGGATTTTTGACAATTTTGTTTCTATTTTAGATCAGAATGTAGAAGTTAGGAAAGCTTCACAAAGAACCATCATCCTTACACAAATGAGAAAATCCCAGATAGCGTTTCATTTCACTTTTTCATGCTTCAAACCCTTGGCCTATCTTTTTATAGCTATTTAAATTAAGGGTGCTAAATTAACTCCTCACAGCAGCTCCTCCTCTGTGTGGTTTGTCAGAAAGTCTCCAGTCCTCCTGACCTCAGAGCCTGAGATGATGTACGTATTCTTGGTTCTCTCAAGGCTAGAGATGGAGCTAAGGGACAAGTCATGGTGGAGATCATTGCATCAGGGTATGGTCAGTATGGTTTCTAACATGTGACCATCAAGTCCCATGAGAAGGAATACTCTGAAGTGAGAAATGTGCCTGGTAAAGAAAGACTGAGGTAGATTTGGGTTATAGCCTGGAGCATCGTAGAAAATGAAGGGCTTTTGACAAGATCACACTTGAATTGAGACGCAAAAGGAGCAGGAAAATGGGGCAGGCTTAGACAAGAAATCCAGAGTAAGCTTGAAGCTTCGTGTCATGGTACACACAGCAGCATGAAGAAAAAGTGGCTGGCAGGAGGGTCTGTGGACGTAGGTATAGCAACATGCTTGAGACTGGTAAGAACCTGCTCTGTGATTTTCCAACAGCCGGACAGTGGGTTCTTCTGCGAAGGGAATTCCAGTGATGAAGATGTGATTCTGAAGGAAGAATTCAGAGGGGTTATCATCAAGCAGGGATGCTTACTGAAGCAAGTGAGTGTCCACCACTATCCCTCCCTTTCAAGCCTTCTAACTTTTTCTAAATTACCAATGTGAATGGAGGATGTTGGTACATATCTGTGGTCCTAGCACTCATGAAGCTTAACCACAGGGATTGCTGTGAGCTCAAGGCCTGGCTAGACTAAACATCAAGAGTTTATCTCAAAAAGACAAAAGAAACAAATGAAAACGAAAAAGTCAGTATTATTAAATAGAATTTAGTTTCCTTAACCAATAATCAAGCAGATAATGGAACCCAGAGGATGAAAGACAAAATGCTAAGTAGATGATGAACATAATGTTAGGTTATGACTAGAACAGGCAGGACACAAAATTCCCCTAGAAATAGTGAAATGCTTCTTTTGCCAATGTCATCATGTGTTGTCTTTATGCTTGCCTGCCCCAATCTTTAGCACATAACCCTGGTTCATATCAGAATTACATGGGAGCAAATTTAAAAAGTCTTTATGGTCTTCAAAATATCAACTTTCCTTCCATTGCTTCTGGGAGTTTGCCAGGACTAAAGGATACCTGTGTTACACACTCCACAGGTGAGAAGTAGCTCTAACTGGATAACTGTGTCCCCCTTCCTGTTTCCCATTTTTTAATTTTTTTATTTTTGTATTAAAATTAGAAGCAAGCTTGCTTCACATGTCAATCCCAGCTCCTTCTCCTTCCCTTCCTCCCCCTGCCCTCACCAGCCCACCCAACCCCCCACCCAATCCCCACCGTGCTCCCCAGAGAGGACGAGGCCCTCCATGGGGATCTTCAAAGTTTGTAATATCATCCGGGACAGGGCCTAGGTCCTCCCCCATGTGTCCAGGCTGGGAGACCATCCCTCCATGTGGAATGGGCTCCCAAAGTCCATTCATATGCCAGAGATAAAAACTGATCTGCTACCCAAGGCCCCATAGATTGCTGAGGCCTCCTCACTGACACCCAAATTTAGGGGGTCTGGATCAGTCTCACCCATGCTGGCTTCTTAGCCGTCAGTCTGGGGTCCATGAGATTCCCCTTTTTCAGGTCAGCTGTTTCTGTGAGTTTCACCACCCTGGTCTTGACCCATTTGCTCATCACTTCTCCCTCTCTGCAACTGGGTTCCAGGAGTTCAGTTCAGTGTTTAGCTGTGGGTGTCTGCCTCTGCTTCCATCAGCCACTGGATGAAGGCTCTAGGATGGCATATAAGGTAGTCATCAATCTCATTATTGGGGAGGGGCATTTAAGGTAGCCTCTCCACTATTGCTTAGATTGCCAGTTGATGTCATCCTCTGTTTCACACTTTTATGTCAAGAGAAATAACTCATAGTTGATAAATGGAACAAGTACAAGGATGAATGGCTGGGTTATATTCAGTCTAATCCCTTTTGTATAATTTTTCTATTATAACAATGAACGAAATACATTGCTGTTTAATCCTTGACCACCACATACAGAGTCTGTGAGGGGAAAGACAATGTATTACATATGCTTTTATTGTTTGTGCCACAGAATTCAACACTCTTTTTTGCTCTGTGATAAGCAAAAAGCACTTGTCAAATGAACAAAATCAAATACAATGGATATCTGATAATCAGACAATAGTTGTTAGAAAACTCAGGCAAGGATATGTTCTTGAAATCCCTCAGTAAATAATCCTTACAGAAAGGTGATCAAACACTTATAAACTTTTCATTAAGCCACACTGTGATGCTGGAGAAGGCTTCGAGAAAACATGGCAGCTACTCAAGGTTGGCTGACCCATCAGCTCAGGATAACTTGGTAATTACGTAAGACAGCATGGCTTTCACCTCTTCTAACAAAGAAGAAATTGTGTGAGGTAACTTAAGTGCTCAGACCTCATGGGCACTGTTATTAAGGCAAAGGAAATACCCATATTTGTGAGGCTGATGGATCTCATAAGTCGTTCTGAGGTAGAGAGATAGCTTACCACCTAAGTACCTTCACTACTCTTATAAAGAACTGATGTTCAGCTTCCAGCACTCACATGGAGGCCAACAGACATCCCTAACTTCAGTTCTAGGATACCCAATGCCTTTGGGCACCTGGAGGCACCAAGCACATACGTGATGCACGTACATACATGTACGAATGAGAAACTGTGTTCTATCACCAGAACCCATGTAAAAAATCTGGCGTGGAACTCATCTGTAATCCCCGTTTAGACAGACAAATCACTGGGGCTTTGTTGGCCATCTATCCAACTTTTATTGAGACCCTCCAGATCCTCATGAGAGACACTGTATCAGAAAGTAAGTTGGACAGCTAGTGAGGAATAACACTGCTGACTTTCACACACATATGTACATACACATGCACCCCCCCACACCATATCTTTGTTTGATTGCTCATGTCTACAGTTACATATCTCTCATTTAATTCTTTTGAAACCCATCATTCATATCTAGTATTTAGTATTTTATTTGGGTTTTGTCACAGTCTATTTCCATAATAAACTCCACAAAAACAGAACTATGTCTTGAACAAAGTTATATGCCCAGCACTGCCTAACATGTCACATGTGTTGTGCCATTTCACATAATTCTAAAGTTGAAGACTGCAGAAATCATTTATCCATGTGATTCAATAACATGTCTCGTTAATTGGCCTTCATGCTATCTCCCTGAGAAAGACATGGGCCAGGGCCTAGTAACCCACCGTGGCATTCTTTTATCCTGCATCTCAGCAGATTTTTTTTTACCTGGGACACTGTGTGTGCAGCGTGACACTAGCAACTCATCCTTCCTTTCTCTGTTCCTGACACAGGGGCACAGGAGGAAAAACTGGAAAGTGAGAAAGTTCATTCTAAGAGAAGACCCGGCCTATCTGCATTACTATGACCCTGCTGGGGTGAGGTTATACGGTTGATAAGTCCATTCACATGAAAGCTTTGCAGGGTCTGGGAGCTGGGGCCACGCCCCCAATGTGATGATGGCTTTCACTGTCGCTCTCATGTTTCTTCCCTCCCCCCTCTATTGTGTTCTAGTACCTCCCACGGCAGTGTCTGAGTTCTCATGACTCTTAGACCAGCAAAGACTCAGCAGCGGAAGGAAATATCAGTGCAGTATGTGTATATTGCTAACACAGTGTAACGTTTTGTCCCCTTTGACATACATAGTATCACTTTAGTTTCTCTCAAATAATTGGTTTCCTTGTGACACTTTCACACTGTATCTGCCTCCTTTGTTGTCATTCCTCCACCACTGCCCCCGAGTCTTCCTTCTTTTCCACGCCTGCTCCTTCTTTGAACAGTCCTTTCGCTTTCATGTAACACACAGTCGGTCACACCCCTTCCCCTCCTTCCCTCTGTACCGCTTCCTCCTCATTGGTAGTCCCCATCCTGCTAATTTCTTCATAGGAGAGAACGCGTGGGCTGTTATCTTTCTTCTGCGTCTAACTATTCTTCCTTTAACAAAATGGTCTGTAGTTCTCTTCATTTTCCCACAACTATCAATGGTTTGCTATTTTTATAGCTGTGTATGAAACTCATTTTGATTACCTATCCGTTTACTCCAACTTCTAAGTTGAATTATAGCGTGTTTTCTACTTTTAATCTTTTGAGGACCCTCCACATTGATTTAAGTAGTGGCTACCTCAGTTTACATTCCCACTAACAGTGTGTAAATGTTTGTTTTCGTCCATATCCTTGCCAGTATTTACTATTTTTTTTTAAAAGACAGCCATTCTGACTGGGGTGAAATAGAATCTCAATATGACTTTGATTTGCCTTTTCTGATGCCCAAGGACACCAGATACTTTATCACATACTTATTGACTGCTTGTATTTCTTCTTTTGAGAACTGTCTATTCATGTCACTAGCCCAATTTTTATTTATTTTTAAAATTAATTTATTTTTTTAATCTCATTTCACATTCCAACCACAGTTCTCCCTCCCACCCCTCTTCCCACTCCCCCTCACTTCCCCTCCCAGCCCACCCCCATCCACTACTCCCAACATCTAACCCAATTTTTAATTTGATGATTTGCTTGCCTTGGTATTTTATTTAGGGGTTTTTCATCTATCCCAGATATTAGTATCATGTTTGGTGTAGAGCTGGCAGAGCTTCTTCTGTTCTGCACGCTGTCTCTTCTCTGCTGATTTTATTCCTCTCATGTGGGGAAGGTTTTCAATTTCCTGCACCCCATTTGTCAGTTCTAGGTATTTTTTGTGCTGTTGGAATCCTTTTCAGGAATCATATTCCTAAGTGGTACCTTGAAATGGTTCACCTATGTTGTTTCAGGATTTACATTAAGATCTTTTATACATTCTGAGTTGATTTTGTGCAGTGAGAACTGTGGATTTACTATTTTTTCTAATGGGCATCCAGCTTCCCCAACACTGTTGATGACACCATCTTTTTTCTAATGTAGGTTTTTGGCATTTTTGTTTGAGATTCTCTGACTACAGCTTTGAGGTACATTTCTTGGCTCACTGTTCTGTATCCCCTGTCTGTGTTTCCATTATTTGAGCTAACCCTGTCTTGGTCATTATAGCTCTAGTGGAATCAGAGAACCTGATGCCTCCAACTGTTGCTGTTTCTGTCTAGAATTGTTTAGGATTTTCAGTCTCTTTTTTTTCCATGTGAATTTTAAGCCCTCCCCCATCTTGTGAATAATGTTGGGACCCTTAGCTTCTGGTGTGTTTGGTCTCCCTGCTACTGCTGTTGCCTGAGGTAAGACTGGATGTCCTGTGTGTTGGTTCATAGAAAAGGTGAAGTATTGATTCACTAGGAGGATGACACAGAGGCAGATTTCCAGCACCAAGCACTCTGGAGGACCACAGAAAGCTTTTGACCAAGACAGTGTCGAGCTGTCCACCTACGACCAAAGGCAGTGAGCACGAAGAGTCCTCACTGTATTGGCTGTCTGGTCTAACCTGTACAGGATGGACGTTCCTCTCAAAGTCTGGAGCAACTAATGTCATGTTGCTATTGCTCCAGATTCCAGCTAGTAATTCCAGATTCCAGGTTGCAATATCAAAAGAGAAGATGACAGATGGGACTGGGACACAGGGGCTGGGCTTCACATGAATGCCCCTGAAGGTCCTGGAAAACTAATTACAGAATGTACACTTACATAACAGAGGCACTTTCCCTAAGTTAAAAATGCTAATTTTCCAGTGGACCCAAAAGGGCATTTATATTTTCCATTTTTGGTCATTCCAGGGAAAGCCACAGAGCTCTGATTTGTGCTTTGAAAAATCCCAGAAAATAGAAACCTGTGTCAACGTTTTCTCAAATTTGCCACCCAGTATTCTGTCCTTATGGCAAACAAGCCTCTGAAGGGCTGTTGGGAAGAGACCAGAGTAAATAGGAGGGTACTGAGGCAGCCTGCCCTGTAAAGCCCTATAGAGGTTCACAGAGAAGATGTATCTTCTTTATCTGGGGGGTGGAGCGTTCTGTATATATTGTTAAGATCATATGAGCTAATTTCAAGTCTGAATTGTCTTCACTGGTGTTTAGTGTTTGTGACATCTTTACAGAACAGGGGGGAGCACTGAAGTTGCTTATCATGATTAACCTTTATTAACCAGTAGTGTTTGTTTTGCAGAATTGGGAACTCCATTATTTGAAACATATATTTATAATTATTATATATTCTTGGTGAATTTTTCTTTATTAATATGTTATTTCTTCTAAATAAATTTGCCTTGAATTCTTTGTCAGATCTTATAGTAACTACAACAACTTATTCTGGGCTGGCATTCACTTGATTGGTTGAGTTGATCCTTTGAGCTTGACACTGTTGGTGCCTTGGCTACTAATATGTGTTTCTTAGGAACAATAGAGAGGTGACTCTTGTTAATAGAGCCAGCCAGTCTGCCTCAAAAGGTGAGCTGAAGCCATTTACAATTAAATTTATTCTTGAGAGATGTTACTCCTGTAATTTTGTTGGCTTTCCTTCTTATTGGTTACACTAGTATTTGTTATGTTCTCTCACCCTTAGTAGTATCATAGGCTTGCTGGCTGGCCGTGCTGGACATAATGGATCCTTTTCTAGATTTTCTTTCTTTATTCATCTCCTAATCCCTCAGATGTTTACTCCATACCTTTGATCCCTGTTGTAAACTTACTTCCAACTCTTCTTCCTTGTTTCATGTAGTATTCTTTTGAAGTCCTATATCCTTCCTCATTACCTATCCTAACCTCTCTCAGATTATTCTCTATTATACCCTCCCACACATATAGCAGCAGGATTAATATTTAAAAATAGCTATACTACCAAAAGTAAACTACAAACTCTATGACGTTCCTATCAAAACACTGATGTAGTTCTTCACAGAACTAGAAAAAAGTAATCCAAGAATTCATATGGAATCGCAAAGACCACACATAGCCAAAGTAGTCCTATGGAGAAAGAACATGTCTGGAGATGCCATAACACCTCACTTCAAATCATACAACAGAGCTCTAATGAGAAAGACGGCCAGATACTGGCATAAAAACCGACAGTTATATCAATGGAATGGAAGAGAGAACTCAGAAATAAACCAAAAAAGCTACAGCCATCCGAATTTTGACACAGGAACAAAAACATGCAGTAGAAAAAAAGACAACTTATTTAACAAATGATGCTGCCAAGACTGGCTATCCATGTGCAGAATGGAATCAGAGCCACATCTTTCATCCTGTGTGAGAAAATTAACTGTATATAAAACCTGAAACACTGGAATTAGTCATGGAAAGCAGAGGGGATCTATGTAAAGATACAGGTTTAGGCATGGCCTTCTGAGACGATTTCCCACAGCACAGAGACTAGATCCAAGAATCAACAGATGGAACTAAATTAAAATAAAAAACCCTACACAGCAAAAGCAACTATAAGCAAAGCAAACAGATGGCCAGCAGAATGGAAGAAGGCACTTAACTAGCTAAACTTCAGATGAGGGATGATATCCAGAATTTTCAAAGAACTGAAAAAAATCTCTGCCAATCAACAAGTCAAAGAAATGAACAGATAATTTTCAAAAGAATAATTACAAAAGGTCAATAAATGTTTTTAAAAAGTGTTAAACATCCCTGTCGTCACAAAACTCCGTCGGGACACCGCCTCACTCTTCTCAGAGCGACGGCTGAGGGAAGAGGAATTTTATTCAGGGATGATAGGAGTACAAACTAGTCCAGCCATTATGGAGATCAGCACAGAGTATTCTCAAATAATCAAAAAGAGAACTACAATATAGCCCAGCTATATCACTTCCCTCGGGACTCTACATGCCACCACGGATATACATGCATCTCCCTCCCGGTTTGTAATACTGTTTCTCTGCTCTGTTTTGTTACTATTGCACTACAATATGTTGTGAAACAGTTCTTCTCTAGGCATGTCCTTTCTTCAGGTTTGTGCAACTTTCTGCTATGATTTCATCAACTAGATTATCTAGCTTCATTTCCTATCACACCTCCCCCTATCCCATGGATTCTTAGGTTTGGTCTTATGACTGTGTCCTGGAATTCTTGGGCACTGTGTTCTGTTTGTTCATTTACTTATTTATGTATATTAATTGATGTTTGGATGTTATAGTCTCCAATCTTCTCCCCCATCCCTGATATTTTTATTTTGATTGGTCAAACACATTGGTGGTATCTTGTACTCTATATTTTATTTAGTTGATTGGAATTTTTGTTTTCAACATCTCTGTTTGTTGTTGTTGTTTCTCAACATGTCATCTTTGATGGATTTTCTTCCGTGTCACTTTTCAATCTACATTGTCGATTTTCCTTTTTTTTTTCTGGCTGTTCCCTCTAAGCTGCTGACTTTCCTCCCCAGGTCTTAGATTGACTTCATCTGCTTGTTTGTAAACTATCTGGGGTCACTAATAATTTCACTAGTAAGCCTTTTTCCAACATTGTACCTACTGAATTCAGCATCTCCGAATTCAGCCAGTGAGGGGTTATTATGATCTCCTAGAGGAGTCATACTGCTTTGTTTCCTGTGTTTCTGTGCATCTCTTGGCTTACCTATTGGTCCTATTAGGGGATACTCTAATTGGGAGGCATTTGAGGGCATTACTGCTTACATTGGAGAAAACAACGTGTTTTTGGACAATCTCTCTCTCTCTCTCTCTCTCTCTCTCTCTCTCTGTGTGTGTGTGTGTGTGTGTGTGTATGTGTGTGTGTGTGTATGTATGCAGGTGAGCATGATTGTAAACGTGTGTGGAGACCAGAGGATAATGTCAGATGTTCCTCTATCACTCTTTATTTCTTTGAGGTGAGTTTTCTCCTGGAAACTAGAGTTTAGCTTTCTTGTCATTTTCTGCCTAGGCTGGAAGCTGACAAACCCTATCCATCCTGTTTTCTCCACAGGTTTGGGTTATAGGTGTGTGGGGCATGTGTTATATTGGTGCTGAGATCAGAACCTTGTCCTCAAACAAGTGCAGGAACCCCCCTTAGCTGCTAGCCACCTCTCTAGCCTGGAGGGAGGCTTGGATTTCACCTCATCCACCGTGTATCCTGTATTTTCTCTACACTTATCATCTGTTCCATCACCGCCATTGTGAATTTTCAAACCTCTCCCTTCCCTTTGCTATCAGAGCAATGTCTCTTTTTTCTTATTCTAATTTTCTCCTTTACCATGTCACAAGAAAGCAGCTGTTAGTTCGCCATTTTTTCCCAAGTACTCTCCAGTTTGATATTTTTGTGGCAACTCATGGTTTAATATGCAAGAGTAAATAATTCGTCTTCCAGGACAACTGGACAATCCCTGTAGGTCCAGCAATCCTGGCTGTTAGCCGAAGAAGAGGCTTTTTCCTCTACAAAAAGATCTCACTGGAAAGTAAAGAGGCTCGTGTCAGCTGTCAGGACTGAGGCCTTTCCCTGCTAACACATGCTGTTCCTTGACTAACTCCTGTGAGCGTTGACATACTGTGTCAAAGGCGGGAACAGGCAGTTCTTCAATGGGGTGTCATAACCCGAGCATCTCTGCCTGTGCTCCTTTCCTCCAGATCTGAGTTCCAGACTGGCTTGCATTTTCTCATGCAGCTTTCCGGGGAGGGAAGATGTTCTGACATGTTCCTGAGTGAGCCAGAGTGATGCCTGAAGCAACAGGATGAGGCAGGTCCACATTGTGTACACTGGAGACACAGCAGCCCCTCTCTCTTCTAGGGTGAAGATCCCCTGGGAGCGATTCACTTGAGAGGCTGTGTGGTGACATCCGTGGAGAGCAATCACGACGGTGAGGATGAATTTCTGTGGGAGGGGATGTGCTTACTGTTCCTCTACACCTGTGCATATTGAGCTAATCAGTCAGTCATGAGGCACAAGCATGCATAAATTTACTGTCGGGAAACTTTGGAGGGAGTGTTACTCCTCCCAAAGAACTGGCCTGCTCTTGGGAAACGGGAGCAGGTTTTGTGGATGCCTTGAGTGTGTCACTGAACAATGCTAGAAAAAGCCATCACCTCCATCCTGGCTTCCATGAAGAGCTTTGGCAGCAGCAGTTTTCCTTGAAGGAGATCATGTACTTATTATATAAGGAAATGTTCTGCAATAAACAGAGTACCTATGCAGTGAGGTGAGATACTTAGTGGGAAGCATACCTGGGTACAGTAGGCTAGGTCTGTGTAACTCATTCTGCCACATAGCCCACTGTGAGCATGCCACCCTGCTGGGTCTCAGTTCCTGCTCTGAAGATAAGGGAATGCACCAGGTGATTTCTGTTCCCCCGCACTCATATGCCTGTGACTGACACATGGATTAGCCATTTGGCTGTCACTGCCCTGTTAGGTACAGAGGACATACAAGTCACTGGAGATGCAGTTTCCACAACCCAACCCTGTTTTTTCCCCCGTCACTTGTCAGACTATTTTTTTGTGTGTGTTGTTACAAAAATCACATTTTGAACACAAAATTATAGAGAATAGTATGCAACAATTACCAAATTTCAACAGCTATCACCACACACTAATTTGTTTGATGTGTGCTTCTCTGTCTGATACTTTATCTTGAATCAAATGAAGACATGTCATTTAACTGCTCTGGCTTCATCTTGACATTTTGGCTTTATTTGCTTTTTCATCCTTCTTTAAGAACTTAGACTTAGTTCTTAATTTAGACTATATTTACAAGACTAATGCTAGATGTGTCTTGGGTTCATTATATATGCATGCTTGTGGATATAAATATATGTGCATTTTAATATATTGAGATTGGTTCTTGGCTTATAATATGAGTAAAACAAAGGCACTCTTTTTGTTGTTGTTGTTTTTCGAGACAGGGTTTCTCTGTGGCTTTGGAGGCTGTCCTGGAACTCACTCTGTAGACCAGGCTGACCTCGAACTCACAGAGATCTGCCTGCCTCTGCATCCCAAGTGCTGGGATTAAAGGTGTGCGCCACCAACGCCCGGCCAAAGGCACTCTTTAAACACCATCAGAAGTTACTCAAGAGATACAATTGGTGTACAGAGGCAAGAAATTTAGCTTACTTATAAACTTATAAATGTTTTCTTGAGTATTTTATGAGTCTCTTAATGATCATGCTACATTGCTATCTTTACAAATACTGAATGTATCCTTAGGCAATGAATATGAATGCAGACTTTGCTCAAGACAATTAGAAACAGTCATTTCATGGCTTGGGGGAGGAGGTAGACAGGAGAGTTTCTGGGGCCCACGTGTTACTTTACTCTCTCTCCCACCAGGCAAGAAGAGCGATGATGAGAACCTTTTTGAGATTATCACAGCAGATGAAGTTCACTACTACCTGCAGGCAGCCACTCCCAAGGAGCGTACTGAGTGGATCAAAGCTATCCAAGTGGCCTCACGGACTGGGAAGTAAGGACAACAATAAAGTCCTCATTGCCTGCAGAGGGAATCCCTTGTGTGGATAAGCACAGTCCATGACTTGTCCACGTCTCTGACAGTTCAGCCAGAAGGAACTAAGAGTGGGAAGAGTTTGCCTGCATGTGCCACCTAAAGTTACCCACACCACTCCATTCACTCTAGTCTCTCCACCCCTGCCTGTCCTACAAGCCATAAGACGAGTTGTGTGGCTACATAGACCTTCCAGGCCTTTGGGGCCTCTCGTGGAAAATGAAGGCATGGACTAGGGTATCTCTGAAATCCTTGCTGGTTAAAAAAGAAAAGCCAAGTAGCAAATAAATACATAATGCCCTGTGATTATAATTTCCATGGAAGTGAAAATGCCTCCAATTGTCCTGAGGGTGTCCTTTTGGGGCCAAGTTGTGGTCCTCAGCTCTCATCATGTGTGGCAGGTCTTAGACATTGCTTGTCTTTGAAGCTGGCACCAAGCTGTACCGAGAACACTAAGAGTGATCTTCTGTGCCCTGGTCACTTAGCTGTTGCTCTTTGCCGAGATTATGTGAAGTAATGAGATAGCATGCTTGCTGTCCAGTCTTCTCTCTGACATTTCTCAAGAGCAGCTTTCTGTCTTCGGTGGCTTTCTATAGCCTTGGCTGTTCTAAGTCCTGAGAAATGGACTCAAGGAAGCCAGGGGCAGCTGAGGGTCTTTCCAGGAGCGGCAGCTGCTTACATCAAGGTCTGAAAAGTCTCCCTTTGTTCTTTTCTGGGGTTTTATGCACCACTTCTTATAGCTAGAAGGCTGCCCTTAAGCCACCAAGGTTCCCTTGAAGTCCACAGAAAAGTGGTTCATGCTGGGTCCTTGGAAGTGAGAGAGGCCTGGGCATCTGTCTGCCTAGTGTGTCTCTTGCATCTTCAGAGAGTGGACAGGACTGCACAGCAAGGCAAGCTGAAGGCCTGGAATGTATGCAGAGTTTGTGGTGGAGACTGTCAAAGTCATCGAGCTCCTTCAGTTCTCCCGACCTCAGTACCATACAGTTCTGTAGCCTTAAGTGCCAGCCTTATCCATGCGGGCTCTGAGAGCTTCCTGGTCTTGTTTGAAATAGAAACTAGTTTGCAGTTTTTCACTTTGACTAATCACTAATTACCTTTGTCCCAAAGTATAAGACAAGGTTTCATGCAAAGGAGTACTTTCTTTTTAAAATTATTTATTATTATCATTATTAATACTCATAGGTGTTTTATCTGCAGGTATGAATGTACACCATGTGCCATGATTGGTTCTTTTCAAGGCCAGCAGAGGATGTCAGATCCCTTCGTGCTGGAGTTGTGGATGCTTGAGCTCCCATGTGGGTGCTGGGAATTGAACCCAGGTTCTCTGGAAGAACAGTCAGTGCTCTCAAACATTGCTAGCCCCAAGACTGTTTCTCTAACTCCAGGTTTAGTTCTGTGGTCGCAGTATAGAAAGGAGAGAAAGAACGTTCTTGTTCCTCTTTTTCATGCTGTCCATTCCTCTGCACTGGTCATGAGGCTCTGCCTGTTCCTAGGTTATTTTGTTGATGGCCAAAAGGCAAAGAACTATCCTTTTCTTTGACTCCTCAGCACACTGTCTTTACAGAATACGCACAATAGTTTATTTATAGCCAGACTTCACATAATGATCAATATAGAGTCAGCCTTATGTTTTGAAATCTATATGATTTAGCTCAGTGTTTCTTTTGGGTGTGATTGCCTTTCTGTAACTGCTCTCTCTTTATGCAATTCACTTTCATTTTCTGAGTAGTATTGTATTTCTCAAACCATTTGCATGTACTTGTCATTTAAAACAGAACTGAAGTCAGGGACTGATGACATGGTCAGAAATTAAGAGCACTTGCTGCTCTTGCAAAGGACTGGGGTTCAGTTCCCAGGTCCACACAGTAGCTCACAACTGTCTGTAATTTCAATTCCAGAGGATCTGACACTGTTTTCTGGCCTCCAAAGGAACTGCAGACACATGAAATACATTCGTGCATACAGGCAAGCACTCATACACACAAAGCAAAAATAAATCTTTTTTTAGAAGTCAGCTTTCCGTAGTGTATAACAAAATCATGCCCACACTGAAGATGAGGTTTAAGGATAAGGCAGAGTGTCCTTGTGTCCTTCTTGTTTTTAACTCACAGCACCTCAACTCCAATCCTTAGACAAATAAAGGGACCCATTAAGTCCACATAAAGGTTTCCTTCTTTTGGGCTGCTAAGCATTCTTCAAGTTCAACTCTGATGCAGCCTGGTGACTGTTTTCCCATGGGATTCCAGTTGCACAGTGATACCAGTGTGTAGAGAGGCCTGTAGCATTGTCAAGCCTTCCTAAAGTAAGCAATTGCTTTTTCTGGGGGAGAAGCTAGCTCTCTCCTGATAAAACAGCCAACCGTGGGATAGGTAAATGTGCTATTCATATCTGAACAACTTTTTGGCTTACAGATAAAGCTCAGATCCTGTTGGACACAACAGTAAGATAGCAGACGTGACATGAACTCTGTCATGATAGCCACTGCCTTCACCCGCTGTGTGTAAAGGGTGTGGAAGCTGAAGATTCTTCTTGCAGGGCAGCTTATGCTGGCAAGAAAGACTCACCCTTTTAAAACTCAGTTTTCCAACTTAAAGTGGGAGGAAATCAGGTTGTTTGATTACCAACTGTAGATGTATTAAGAAATAACATATAAACCAGGCATGGTGGCATATACGTGTAGACCCAGAGCTTGTGAGGTCATGGCAGGAGGATTGTGAAGTTAGGGTTAGCCTAGGCAACATGGTGAGACCATGTCTAACAGCATCTGAAATAAGGAGAGAAAGAAGAAAAGAAAGAAAAGATAATGAAAGGAGGTAACCATCTTCTCATCTGACAGAGAGACAAATAAAACATCCACCAAAGAACGAAAATACGCTTTGCAAGACAAAATGTTTAAATCTTACAGCACAGAACACAGCACTGATTCAGGATCAATGTTTAGTTACACACACACACACACACACACACACACACACACACACACACACACACACACACACACACACACACACACTCAGTGGCTACTACTGCACCACAGAGAGTGACTTTCAAAACAGAATGAGGAACTTACTTGAATGAAGACATCACTAGTTGGTCATTGCTAGTTAGAAGACACTAAAAGAAGGAAAACAGGTTTAGGGTGCTGCCTTTGGACTCTTTGAAGAGTGAGGAAACACCTCTGTCCTTGACCTTTAGGGCAAAAAGAGAATGGAAAAAGTAATTGCACAATGTTTCCGGTTTTATTTTGTGTTCTCTAAACACAGGGTTTAAAAACCATGCAGGATGTTTTAGGAGAAGTAGAGGAAAGGGCAGTGGAAAAAGAAAGTAATGAGGAAGTTCAAAAACAGTTAAGAGTTGCTTAAAAATAAACTGTGAAATTACACCCTCACTGTGTTTGGCCTAATTTCAGAGCAAAGGAAACAAAATGTAGAACAGACAAAGTGGATGGGAGGAGCTGTCCTGGGGGAAGACACAGGGGCTTTTGTGGGAAGGCTTAGTAGTATTGGGGAAGGCACTGACAGAGCCTGGGGCTCAGCTACAAGCCCATGACTTACTGTGGCCACATCCCCACTTAGAATTAGGTTCTGTGTTAGCCAGCATTTTGTCACTGTAACAAATGCCTCAGATAAATCGGCTTAGCGACAGAAAGGTTTCTTTTGGCTCATAGTTCTCATCCACACTTGGCTGATGTTTAGTTTGGGGTCTTTGGCCAGACTATCTCATGCTAGCAGGGAGCAGGTTCTGGTTGTGGGCGTGGCTGGGAACTGAAAAGAAATGCAGATGAAGGTTCTGAGGCCCTCATGTCCTCTCCAAGCGCTTCTAGTGACTACAAGACCTCCTTCAACAAATGGTGTTGGCATAACTGGATGCTGGCATGTTGAAAACTACAAATAGATCCATATCTGTCGCCATGCACAAAACTTAAGTCCAAAACAAGCAAAGGCCTCAACATAATCCAGCCACAATAAACCTCTTAGAAGAGAAAGTGCGAGGTACCCTTAAATGAATTGGTACAGGAGACTGCTTCCTGAACATAACACCAGTAGCACAGACACTGAGATTGACAGTAAATGGGACCTCATGAAACAAGATCCCTGGGCCTATAGTCAGAGGAGATTCAAAGTCCAGCTTGCCTGACTTCTGAGTACACGCACATATACCTCCTGTCTTATAGTAGGATACACTTGGCTCTGGCCAGCTTTGGGCACCTATCTTGTTTCCAAAGGAACCCTACTAACTCAACCCTGGCACCTGTCCTATCAGTAACAGCAGCATTTCCTGTTAGTACATAGCCAACCCTGACTCTGGGTTCTGGGCTTCCACTGCCTAAAGGGAAAACTTTCTGGTCAGAGGTAACACTGGTTCTGAGGTTCCTGGGTTTCTACTCTGTGACATGTTCTTGCATAAAACAATATTTTTTCTGGACAGATTAAGGTGTGTTTATACACACATACATTGTGTGTATACTTAAAAATGTTTTATTTCTTCCTATTTTATTTTTATTTAAATTAGAAGCAAGCGTGTTTTCATGTCAATCCCAATTCCCTCTCCCTCCCCTCCTCCCCTGCCGCCCACCAACCCCCTATCCTATCTCCTTTCAGCTCTGTGGGGAGGATGAGGTGTTTCATGGGGGATCATCAAAGTCTGTCATATCAACTGGAGCAGGGCCTATGCCCTCCCCCAGGTGTCTAAGCTGAGAGAGTATCCTTTTATGTGGAATGGACTTCCAAAGTCCATTCATATGCTAGGGATAAATACTGATCTACTACCAGAGGCCCTAAAGATGGCCCAGGCCCCCTCACTGACACGCATGTTCAGGGGTTCTGAATCAGCCCTATGCTGGTTTTCCAGCTATCTGTCTGGGGTCCATGAGCAACACCTTGTTCAGGTCAGCTGTTTCTGAGGGTTTCACCAGCCTGGTCTTGACCCCGTTGCTCATCACTTCTTCCTCTCTACAATTGGATTACAGAGTTCAGTTCAGTGTTTAGATGTGGGTGTCTGCTTCTGCTTCCATCAACCACTGGATGAAGGCTCTAGGACGTCGTATAGGATAGTCATCAAATTCATTATTGGGGAAGGGCATTTAAGGTAGCCTCTTCACTATTGCTTAGATTCCTAGTTGGGGTCATCCTTGTAGATCTCTGGACATTTCCTTAGTATCAGATTTCTCTTTAAACCTATAATGGCTCCCTCTATTATGATATCTCTTTTCTTGCTCTCCTCTATTCTTCACCCAACTCAATCTTCCTGCTCCTTCACGTCCTCCTTTCCCCTCCTCTTATCCTCTTCTCTTTCTCCTAGCTCCCTCTGCCCTCCCTCAATGCTCCCAATTTGCTCGGGAGATCTTGTCCCTTTCCCTTTCTCCAGGGGACCATATATGTCTCTCTTAGGGTCCTCCTTGTTTCCTAGCTTCTCTGGCAGTGTGGATTGTAGGCTGGTGATCCTTTGCTCTATGTCTAAAATCCATATGTGAGAGAGTACATACCATGTTTGTCAGATTGCCATTCTGACAGGAGTAAGATGGTATCTCAGAGTTGTTTTGATTTTCATTTCCCTGATGGCTAAGGATGTTGAGCACCTTCTTAAATGTCTATGAGACATTTTAGACTCCTGTATTGAGAATTCACATCAACTGGAAAGGAGAGTGATTTTAAATGATTCTGAATTTTTCTATTTTCACCATAGCAGGGAGTTCGTAATTTAGAGCCATCAACCAGGCCAAATCTCCCGGTCCCTGCATATGAACCTGTGACATTAAGATAACAACACCTACATTGCATCATGATGTGAGGATTAAGTACAAAAAACAAAATAATGCTGGTTCTCATAGTCGTTGCCCTCTTAGTCTGGCGATTTCCTAAATTGGGGGATATGAAAATTGTGAACTGTGTAAGCAGCCAACCCACACTGGAGACAGAGTGAGCAGGAGACAAGTGCTGTATTTTATGATGAGGTAGTTTGCAGTTATGGTTGCATAATTATCACCCTAACTATGCCGATTCAGTGTCCTTGTAAGAAGTGAGGGAGCAGAAATGAACCCACAACCTTAATCTTTGACATCTTGTTAAACACCCATTTTTCTTTTTTAGATTCTGCATCTTCAAGGTCAACAGATATAAACAGAATTATCAGAAACAGAATATTTTTTCTTTTTTAAATTTAAATTAGAAACAAATTTGCTTCACATGTCAATCCCAGCTCCCTCTCCCTCCCCTCCTCCCCTGCCCTCCACCAGGCCTCCCAACCCCCCAACCTATCCCCACTTTGTTCCCAAGGGAGGGTGAGGCCCTCCATGGAGGATCTCCAGAGTCTGTTATTTCATTCAGGGCAGGGCCTAGGCCCTACCCCCAGAGTCCAGGCTGAGAGAGCATCCCTCATTGTGGGATGGGCACCCAAAGTCCATCTATATGCCAGGAATAAATACTGATTTACTACCCAAGGCCCCATAGATTGCCTAGGCTTCCTCACTGACACCCACATTCAAGGGGTCTGTATCAGTCCCATGCTGACCTCCCAGCCATCAGTCTGGTGTCTAAGAGCTCCCCCTTGTTCAGGTCATCCAGAAACAGAATCTTATTTTACCATCCCGTTAAAGGTTCAGATGAATGTCAGAAGTGGCATGTTTCCTTTATTGTCAGTGTATTACCATACAAGGAAGATAACTTTGGGACTGTTTTATTTGTGGGTTGCACCCAAGGCAGTGTAAGAGCAGAACACCCAGGGCCTGGTTTGTTCATTTGTTTCTTGTCTCAGTGACTGACCCAGATGGTTGGCTGTGTGCCTTCTTCCCTTATCTAGGTGGCCTTTCAAATTCTCTTTGGCCACTGCATGAAGAATAGACTGCAGAGGGTAAAAGGTGAAGCTGGAAATATGATGAGAAGCTGATGAATAATTCATTCAAGAAACAGCCACGACTTAGGCCAGACAAGGTAGTCCTGCATATGTAAGAAGGGGATCCCATTTGGAATACATATTGGTGGTAGTATCATTAACAGGATGTACTAGGGAATCTGGGAGGAATGAGTAAGAAAAAAGACAAATGGAGGGTAATTCTTACTTATTACCCAGAGTATCAGATAGGAAGTGCAACTATGTGCTAAGGAAAGAAGAGGGAGAGATGTGGATTACTTAGTACATCCTATTAAGACTGATATATATATTCCTCACATACAGAGGGCTACTTTGTCTGGTTTAAGTTACTGTTGTTTCTTAAACTAATTGTTCATCAGCTTCTCATCATATTTCCATATAGAGTGGTAGCATATAGGAATGGGGGTTTGCTTTCTTACATATGGCATTAAGTAAGAGGGCAGGTTCAAGGAAATGGGAGGAGCCAGGTGAAAGATACCTCTCCTAGTGGAGAACTTAGTGTGTGTGGATTGATTGCAGGGCTATGCTGAGTTTGAAGGCAGTAAGAGATGCCCCTGACCTTGAATCGTTGTTTGGAGAATGGAAGCTGAGACCTTAGAAAAGGGGAATAAGATGTAAATACTTAGACATGGCTAGTTAGAAAGCAATGGGGAAAAAGTTCAAGTTCTTCTGGGGCAAAACACAAGAATCTATTGGAGTATCATGCTTTTTACTTGTGTAGTTTTTCTGTTTATTACATATGTCTGCTTACATCTCCAATATGATTGCTGTTGCTGTAACACAGTTGTGAAAATAAGCCCCCAATCCAAGGCTGTCAATGCAAGTTTCTTCCAACTGCACTTGAATAGAAGCTAAACAACTTTGAGACCCTCCACATTCTGGTTGTGGCACAGATTTAAATGAGCACTGGTGAATATGATCCTGAGTGCTTATCATTCACGTGTCAGGTAGGCACATGTAGGATTAAAAACACTACATATTTATGAATTTGGTAAATATGCCTTTTTCAAAGTTTATCTGTAGGTTGTACTTGAATACAACAATGCTGTATCTATGTGTGAGAGAATAGCGAGGGTCCCAGCCTATACTTATTTATTTGCCTATCTATCTATCTATCTATCTATCTATCTATCTATCTATCTATCTATCTATGCTTTATTTTTTGAGACTGTAGCTTTGGATCCTGTCCTGGCACATGCTCTGTAGACCATGCTGGCCTCGAACTCACAGAGATCTGCCCACCTCTGCCTCTGGAATGCTGGCATTAAAGATATGGGCCACTATGCTCAGCTTCCAGTCTGCCTTCTTAAGAACCATTTGTCTTTCCTGAGGGGTTGATGAGGTGCCTGAGTTATCTTGTGGGATGGATGGTTTGTTTGCAAGGGTAAAGATGGTATAGTTTGTGTGGGCACAGGACTGCTGGCAAGTCTTCTTGGGGACATTCCCATTATTATTATTACTTAATGAATGACACATTTCCTGTTATTTATAGGACCAGGAACCATGCCACATATGTTGTTATAAGTGTTGCTTTGTTTCAAACTCACATTAGACCTTCTTTGTCATGATTGAACAGGTGAGGACACTGAGGATCATCAAGGTGAACCTGCCTGACCGAGATTCTGCAACCAGGAAAACAGATGGAATTCAAGGCTTGATTCTGAATGTTTAGTTGGCATTTTGTGTTGTCTTCACTTTCCTCACAAGCTTCCTGGGTGTATACTTTTAATCTACTCTTTATTTAATATTTCCTGTATCAAGAACTCGCCAGTCTTATAGGGCTGTTCTTCCCCCCAGCATTCAAATAAAATGATATCGTGTCTGTACAACTTGCCATGGGAAGTCTGGAGACATCACAAATTCCCCCCAAATTCTCAAGCTTAGAGGAGAGGTAGCCCTTTCATTCCTCTGCTTTCTGAGTTCCCGCTCCTGTTTTCTTATCACCTGCCCACTGAACAGAACAGTCACCCCAACATTCCATGCAAAGCCCCAGCCTACAGGTGCACCTTGCCTTTGCAGCCTCTGCTCAATGTCACGTCTCTAGACGTACAAGAATGTCGGCTGGGTTCTTGGAGAAGCTGATCCTGAGGCAGGATAAGGTGTGAAAGAAACTCATTGTGAAAGGGACTTTACTAAAATAGACAAAAGTGTACAAGGAAGTAGAGACTGAGTGAGGAAGCTCCAATGAAAATACAGTAGCAGTTGCCCTAGAAAGAATAGCAAAGGGCTACCTTCCCCTGGCAAAGCTCTGAGCAGTATATCAGGTGCTTGGTCTTTGGGAGAGATGTGAACCAAGGAGATAATATATTATGAAGAGTAGTGAGTGGTCTGTCTACTGTTCAGACTGAAGGATCAGAGCCAAGGGGTTCTAGGGAAGAAGCATACGGATGGATGTCTGGGAGTGGGAGGAAAGTGTGAAGATGTGTGTGTCATATCCTAATATCTCCAGAAGCTTCCACCCCCGAATCACGTGTCCTGTTGTGTGAGTCGTCCCTTGTCTGCAATTACTGCAGTTCTAGCACAAAGAATGCAGCAATGGGATGGCCACAGTGGTGGATATAGGGGCCACACACAGGGGCAACAGCACTGGCTTCTACTTTACAAGACTGATTAAGCTATTGCCACCTCGGAGTGTCCAGCATGTGAGCAGTGAAGACCAGTGCTGAGCGCTGTGAGACAGTCTTCAAGGAGATCAATAAGTCATTTGGTAAGTTGGCTACAGTTCATTCCGAATGTTTTGTCCTCACAATAACAGACTGTGATTCCAGCTACAGATTTCTCTTTCTTTTTCAGGGTGCTCAATCTGTAGGCAAAGAGTTCACATACTATAACACATATTTAAAAAGTTGTTATAGTTGGGAAAAGAAAACGAAGAAATAGACCCAATAAAATGCACTTAATTTTAAGTCTAGCACATCCTTCAATCACAGTATCTTCTTGGGCTTCCTCCAAACTCACTAATTATCCATCCTTAATGCATGGTAAGATCATCTTTCTTATAGATTAGTATTTCTGTGTTTAGGTCCGAACCCTACCATTTATTGTCTGGAATCATTTCAAGAGCTTACAAATGGGCTTCCCTATCCCACAACCATACCCCTATCTACTTCTTATATTTTAGCCCTAAACCCCCTGTGAAATGAAGGTTCCTTAAATAACTAATGCTGCTAATCTTCCAAACCTCAGCTCCCTTCCAACTGTTTCATTGCTTGCGCAATGGGACCCAGTGCTGGTGAACTGTAATGTTACCAATGTCAACTTGACTAGCATGGATCACAGAAACCAACGTGGCCTCTGGGAGAAGCATGCATCCTGGAGTTGAGGAGACCAAATCCTGAAAAGGAACTGTTCTCCATCTCAAAACAAACAAACAAACAAACAAACAAACCTGTCTTTGCTCAGAGCCAGGGGGCTTACGTGGCTGGGCAGCATCTTCAGGGTCAGCGCCTGAGCAAGCTCTAGGCTGCTGCACACCATTCTGCTGGTCCTACTTGGCAGCGACATGCTCTCCCATCCATCGCAGCCTCTCCTACACCTGTTACCTCTGCAGCATCTCTAGTTCTGCCTCTCTCTACTGCACACCGCTGTTTCTTCCATCCACCTTTCCCACTTCTCCACCGCATATTTATTTGTCAAAGTGGCATTGCAAACTGCAGCATGTCACACAGTATATTTTATGTTATTATTGTTCAGCTTTATATGCAAATACTCATTGCAATCAGTCATTGGTTTGGTGCAAGGGTTCTATTTCTGAAGCACCAGAAATACTGGACCATTACCCAGACTCCTCTGGGGTAGACTGCTATTGCTCAGAGTCAGGGTGATCTTTCAGTTGGGCAGGGCATCCGATGTTAGGATCACCTCCAGCTCCAGGCCACCACACACCTATGTTGGTGGAGTTTTTCAACAGGATTGCTAGCTCCCCCAAAAAACATGCAGAGACTTATTATCAATTATAACTGCTCAGGTGATGGCTCAGGCTTGTTAGTAACTAACTCTTTTTTTTTTTTTTTTTTTTTTTGGTTTTTCAAGACAGGGTTTCTCTGTATTGTTTTTGGAGCCTGTCCCGGAACTCGCTTGATAGACCAGGGTTGGTCTCGAACTCACAGAAACCCACCTGTCTCTGTCTTCCAAGTGCTGCGATTAAAGGCGTGCGCCGCCACCGACTGGCAGTAACTAACTCTTACAAGTTAAACTAACTCGTATTTCTTATCTACACCCTGCCACGTGGTGGTACCTTTCTTTCAGCTTGGCACATTCATCTCCTGCTTCCTCTGCGTGTGGCTGGCGACTCTGCCCTCCTTCTTCCCAGTGGTCTCTCAGTTTGGCTTTCCCACTAAAAAGGACCAGAGAAAGAAACACACTTTGGCTCTGAAACCAGAGCCAAATCTGACCCTAACCCTGTGCAGAAAACTAACCAGTCCCTGAGCAGATACAGTTATCCTAAACTCAGGGTTTGGAATCTGACTAATCCTTTCCCTGGAAAACTCCACCCTCTAAGAAGCCCTATATAAACCCTGTGTCTGTTCAGCTTGTGGCTGTTCAGGCTGCCCAGCTGCCCTCTGCTACCCTGGCAGGGGGCAGCCACTCTCCTGGATCTCCCCCCACCCCAATAAATCTCTTGAATAAGGTTTGGGTAAGACCTTCTTTTCCTGGAGCAGAGACCACCCTGGGTGGAGCAGGGCTGTAACACTTTTCGCTGGGGTAAACCTTCCCCTGGCTAACTGAAGTTTGTTGCACTCTGCTGGGGAATGAGTTGAACTGTAACAACTTCGCAGGGGAAGCCCTCTCCTGCAGGAGCAGGGCTGATACACCAGGGCAGCCTTTCCCTGAAGCAAGGCTGTAAGCTGCTATGCTTACCGTGACCTGTGGCTGTAACACTCAGTATTCTTTGGCTCCCAAGCGCCATAATCCATCCCTGTCCATTCCATCCGATTCGTTGAAATGCGTACAACGTGGCCTGTGTTCTCCTTCCAGCCAGGTGAACAGCAGCAGTGGCTCCATGCTACAGGCTGGCACTCGTCAATGCCATGTTCTTTGTCCACTGGGGCCGTGTTCTCCAATATCACTCCCGTAGCCTTCTGCAGCACACCTCTAGTTTCACTGTCCTCAGCCGAGAGCATCTGCTCCACCATCTTTCCTTCTACTTTCATGGAACCATTCTTTTAAAAACATCTTCCTATCAGACCTGCCTTTGTCAATATTGTTCCGGAGATACCGAGGGCTCTATAGACTCCTTCTCACAGGAGGGGTTTCTCGAGGGTGGGAGGAGACTCTGCCTTGGCAGTGGCATCTGTGTCATTCATGCACTGAGCCCTGAATGGCCCCCGTAGGTCATCGCTGCGGCCTGGTGCAGGACATCCAGAGCTAGGGATGACGGGAGACTTGACTCCTCCTCCACCTCTAGGCTGCCAGAGAAGCTCTTGTGTGCTATGGCCATCTTGGTTCTGCCCCCTCTCTTCTCTTTTAAGAAATTACCACAGTTTGTGGCTTATGATGATACGAACCTACTGTGTTATAGCTTTGGAGACTGTAAGTCTGAACTGGGTCTCAAGGTTGAGCAAGACCTCATTCCTTGATGGAGTGCGAGGGGAGAATCCACTTTCTTTTAAAAGTTTATAGAAACAACCTTATTCCCTGACTAGAAGGTCCCTAAGGTGGCCAGTCTTTGTCACCTTGACTAGATCTGGAATCAACTAAAATGCCACCTTCTGGGCACTGCTGGGAAGGACCTTTTTTTTTAGTAAAATTATTTGAAATGTAAGATTCACCCTAAAGGTGGGTGGCGCCTTCTAGAGGCAGCCCAGATGATAAAAGGACATGGAAGAAGGAAAGTTTTGCCTGCTTGTCCTCACGCTTGCTGACTAGCCCAGCTATTATATATATAATTAAATATATATATTTAAATTTTATTTTAGAAACAATCTTGTTTTACATATTAATTCCCCCTTCCCTCACCCTCCCATTCTCCCATGCCTCCCACCACCCCCCAACCCACCCCTCACCCACTTCCCAAGGATGGTGAGATCTTCCACGGTGGACCATCAAAGTCCATCACACCATTTGGGGGAGTGCCTAGGCATTCTTTCATGTATCTGGGCTGCAATAATATCCCCCCCCATAGGGAATGGGTTCCCAGAGTCCATTTGTGCTCTAGGGATAATCACTGGCTCCACTGTTAGAAGTCCCATAGACTGCCCAGGCCTCCTAGCTGACACCCACATTCAGAGGGCTTGGTTTGGTCCAATGCCGGTTCCCCAACTTTACGACTAGGGCCTCTGTGCTCTCACTAGGTCAGGTCAAATGTTTCCTAGTTTCTCTGGTGGTGTGGATTATAGGCTGGTAGTCTTTTGCTCTATGTCTAATATCCATATATGAGTGAGTACATACTCTGCTGTCTTTCTGTGGTTGAGTTACCTCTCTCAGGATGTTTTCTTCCAGTTCCATCCATTTGCCTGCAAATTTCAAGATTTCATTGTTTTTTTCCTCCATTGTGTAAATGTACGACATTTTCTCCATCCATGCTTTGTTTGAGGGGCATCTAGGTTGCTTCCAGGTTCTGACTATTACAAACAATGGTGCTATGAACATAGTTGAATATATGTCCTTGTTGAATGAATGTGCATTCTTTGGGTATTGCTGGATCTTGAGGAAGACTGATTCCCATTTTCCTGAGGAATCTCCATGCTGATTTCCAAAGTGGCTGCAGAGTTGGCAATCCCACCAGCAGTGGAGGAGTGCTCCCCTATCTACACATCCTCTCCAGCATAAACTGTCTTTGGTGTTTTTGATTTTAGCCATTCTGACAGGAGTAAGATGGTATGTC